GCTAGCTAGCCCCCCACACCCCCACCACAGCTAGCTAGCTACACGCAAAGAGCTAGCTAGCCAGACGAACAGCTAGCGAGCCACACACACAGCTAGCTAGCGAAAGAAACAACTAGCTAGCTACGCACACAGCTAGCTAGCTAGCCAGCAGCCTAACATGTCAGTAAGCTAGCTAGAAAGCAGGTAGCTATCCAAGGAGTTGCTGCTGCTGCTTCTGCTGTTGCTGCTGTTGCAGCTGCCTCCGCTGCTGCTGAATGCTGCGCTACATTTGTGTGTGCTGTGCTGGCTCTGTTTGGTTTGCTTCTGCTGCTGCTGCTGCTGTTGCTGCTCCTGCTGCTACTGCTGCTGCTGCTGCTGCTGCTGCTGCTGCTGCTGCTGCTGTTGTATTTCAGGCTCAAGAGGCAGCATTGGGTTCGTTGCAGCTGCAGGTAGACGAGCTGCAGCGCCAAGGGGAAGCAGCAGCAGCAGCAGCAGCAGCAGCAGCAGCAGAACGAGACAGAGCAAAAGAAGAAATACAAACCCTAAAGACAGCAGGAGAGCAGCAAACAGCAGAATTGAGAAAGCTAGGGGACCAGCATGCAACGTTGCTGCTGCAGCGGGAGAGAGAAGAGAAGCAGCACAGCATGAAGCTGCAGCAGCTGCAGCAGCAAAAAGAAGAAAGCGAGCAGCAGCTTAAAAAAGCAGCAGCAGCAGCAGCAGCAGCAGCAGCAGATAGACAGCAGCAACTGCAGCAGCAAATCGATACACTCAATAAAAAAATACTGCTGCTGCAGCAGCAGAACCAAGACACAGAGCATGCGCTGCAGGAGGCACACAGAGAAGCAGAGAATGCAGCAGCTGCAGCAGCAGAAGCAGCAGCTGCTGCTGCTGCTGCACTGCAGCAAAGGGAAGCAGCATTGGAGGACCTGCAGCAGCAGCTGCAGCAGCAGCAAAGAGAACTTGCTGCTGCTCATACACAAATAAAAACAGAGACAGAAGCAGCAGCAGAAAGAGATAAAAAGGCACGCAGAGAGCTGCAGCAGCTGCAGCAGGAGCTGCAGCAGCAAACGCAAGCAAAAGAAGCAGCAGCAACAAAGGTAACAAGACTGCAGCAGGAGGTAGAGCAGCAGCAGCAGCAGCAGCAGCAGCAAAAACAAAAACTAGAAACACAACTGAGAGATACGCAGCAGCAAGTAGAAGACATGGAGCAGCGATTGAAGCAGCAGCAGCAGCAAATGCAGCAGCAGCAGCAGCAGCAGCAGGAAGACAGAGAGAGAAAAGAGAAACATAATCAGCAGCAGCAGCAGCAACTGCAGCAGCAAATAGAGGAACTGCAGCAACAAATAAAAAAGCAGCAGCAGCAGCAGCAACGTGAAGCAGAAGAATATAAACAGCAGCTGCAGCAGCTGCAGCAGAACCTCGAGAGTGCAAAGAAAGCAGCAGCAGAGCAGCAGCAGCAGCAAGAGCAGCAGCGAAAGCAGCAGCAGCAGCAGCAGCAGCAGCAGCAGCAAGAGCAGCAGCAAAAAGAAGAAGCACAAAAGAAAGCCCTAGAAGCAGCTCTATCCGAAGCAAAAAAAAAACAAGAGGAGTTGCAGCAGTTGCAGCAGCAGATACATGAACTGCAGCAGCAGCAGCAAGAGCTGCAGCAGCAGCAGCAGCAACAAAAAAAAGAAATAGAAACAAAAAATAATATGATAGAAAACGCTAAACAAAAATATACTGATCTAGCCAACAAACACAACGAATTAGTAAAAAAGTTTAATGCTGCTGTTTCCCTAGAGAAGGAGCAGCGCAGCAAGAGCGAGGAAGCAGCAGCAGCAGCAGCAGCTGCTGCTGCTATTGCTGATGAAAAACAGCAGCAGCAGCAGCAACTGCAGCAGCAAATAGAAACACTCAAAAAAGAACTGCAGCACACAAAAGAAACAGCGAAAAAGGCAGAAGAGGCAAGACAAGCAGCAGAGAATAAAGCAGCAGCAACTGCTGCTGCTGCTGCTGCTGCTGCTCCTGCTGCTGCTGCAGCACCTAAAACTGCTGCTGCTGCACCTCCAACCAAAGCAAGCGGAAAGGCAAAAGCTGCAGCACCAAAAGCAAAAGGAGCAGCTGCTGCTGCTCCTGCTGCTACTAGTAAGTCTTGCTGCTGCTGCTGCTGTTGTTGCTGCTGCTGCTGCTATGGTGCTGCTGCTTATGCTGCTTTTTTTTTTGTTGTTGCTGCTGTTTGTTTTGTTGCTGCTGCTGTTGTGCTGCTGCTGCATTCGTTGTGCTGCTGCTGCTGCTGTTGTGCTGCTGCTGTTGTTGTTGCTGCTGTTGTTCCTGCTGCTGTTGCTGTTGCTGTTGCTGCTGCTGCTCCTGCTGCTGCTGCTGTTGTTGCTGTTGTTAATAATATATGTATCTGAGTTGCTGCTGCGTTTGTGTGTGCGAAGCAGCAGTAGCAGCACCAGCAGCAGCAGCAGCAGAGCAGCAGCAGCAGCAGCAGCAGGCAGAGGAGACAAGCGGTGGTTTCTTCTCGTGGTTTGGGGGGGGAGGAGACACAGCAGCAGCAGCAGCAGCAGAAGAAGCAGCAGCAGCAGCAGCAGCAGAACAGCCTGCTGCAGCAGAAGCTGCTAGCAGCGGATGGAGTCTCTGGTAGACCCTAAACCCTAAACCCTAAACCCTAAACCCTAATATTTAAACCCTAAACCCTAAAACCCCAAACCTTTATTTTCTTTGTTATAATAAAAGGAGATTATAATAAAAAAAAAAAAAAAAAAAAAAAAAAAAAAAAAAA